TACACTGGGAACTGAATAGGGGATCTGTGTCCCTGTTGATTTTGCTGCATCTCTCAATGGCTTTTGATACTATCAACCACAGTATCCTCCTGACCCATCTTTCTTCAATGGGACTGTTTTGCGATGGCTCCAGTACTTCCCAGAGAAGAGAACTTAGAAGGTGGTACTGGGAGATTCCTTTTGGATGCCCTAGCCACTGACCTGTGAGGTCCTTCATGGTTCTATTTTGTCTCCTATGTTATTTAACATCTACATGAAACTGCCAGGAGAGATTAGCAGGATTTTTGGGGGGTTCCATGTCAGAGAATTGTCATAGGATTGGAAGGGACCTTGGAGATAGTCTAGTCCAACCCCCTGCCCAAGGCAGGAGACCTCATACCATCCCGAACAGATGGCTGTCCAATCTTTTCTTGAAAACCTCCAGCGATGGGGCACCCACAACATCGGGAGGCAAGAACTTCCACTGCTTAATGGTTCTCACCATCAGGAAATTCCTCCTTATTTCCAGGTTGGATCTCCCTCTGACGAGTTTCCACTAGACCCTCCAATTTCTCCTCCAGTAATGTGATGAGTTTGCATTAGGTGCAGGTATAACTGAGTTTTCCTCAGGCAGGAATACAAATATAGCACACAGCTTGCAAGTTACCACAGTGCTAGCCTCATTCTCCATGCTTTTCAGGGTTGTGCTGCTCCAAATAGATATTCTTTTCTAGTCCCAACAGATACTCTAAGTGTACTGTAAATATGCATTCTTTTGTAGCCCCAATTTAGATGTTTGCAGGTAATATTCATGCAGGCCACTAGCTTGATCCAATGAGACCAAGTCCCTCTGCTTTGTTGCTTACAGTGAGCACTTCCCCACTCTCCCAGAATCCTCTGCTGGTATACAAATGCTCCCAATGAAGTAGTTCCCAGGCTGCTAGCTTGGTTCAATGACACCACACCCCTCTGATTTGTCACTCATGGTGAGCTCTTCCCCACTCTCCCAAAATCCACTGCTGGTATGCAAATGTTCCCAATAAGGATGTCAACCAACTCTTGCCACTTAATTCCAAGTAAGCTTTGGCTCTAGATCAGTGATTGGTATCAATAATAAACTAGATACAGGTGAATACATTGAAACTTAATCCAGACAAGATAGAGGTGTTCCTGGTCAGTCCAAAAGCAGATCAAGGAATAGGGATACAGACTGTACTGGATGGGATTACACTCCCATTGAAGAAACATGTGTGCAGTTTGGGTGTATTCCTAGATTCACCTCTGAGCCTGGATGCCCAGGTTTCAGTAGTGGCCAGGAGTGCATTTGCACAATTAAAACTAGTGCACTAGCTACATCTGTTTCTTGAGAGATTTGATCCAGCCACTGTGATATATGCCTTTGGTTACTTCCTGCCTGGGTGACTGTAATGTGCTCTATGTGGGGCTGCCCTTGGAAAGTGTCAGGAAATTTCAGCAAGTCCAAAATACAGCAGCCAGATTGCTCACTGGGGCTGGTTACAGGGATCACATAACCCCCTGTTACAGCTGCTCCACTGGCTGCCAATCAGTTTCCAGGCACAATTCAAAGTGCTGGTTTTAATCTATAAAGTTCTAAACAGCCTCGGTAGAAGCTTTTTTAAAGACTGTATCTTTCATTATGAGCCAGCTCGAGTGTTAAGATAATCAGGAATGGCCTTTCTCCTGGTCCCGCCACCTTCACAGGTGTGTCTGATGGAGACACAGGAGGGGGCTCTCGGTTGCTATTCCTAGACTTTGGAACTCCCTCCCACAGGAGGCCGGACTGGCTCCATATTTACTGCCGCCTAGAGTGGTCGAAATGACTAGATAGGCGGGGTATAAATACAATAAATAAATACAATAATAAATAAAAATAAAATAATAATAAAATAAATACTGTCCTTCCTCAAGCAGGCAAGCCCTTCCACAGTAACTAGCTACATGTGTGTGCTTTTTTTTAAAAAAATGGATTGTTATACATTACGGTTATGATTGGACTTTTAGTACTACTTGTGTTTTCCAGTTTTGTATTTTCCATTTCTCAAAGTGGCTTTTTTTTTAAAAAAAAAATCTTATTGTTCTTAGCTCTAATATAGTCTTTTAAGGATGTTACAAATAGATTTGCTATTTTTAAACTCTGGTTTTGATTGTCCCTGAACCTGGTACTGGCAACCAAAAAGCAGCAAATTAAACATTACACATTCAGTTTTCAGATATTTCCTTGCACCATTCTTGCCAAAGAAACGTTAGTCAGCTACCTAAGCATGAAGCTGCCATTTCAAACTGCCGCTTAATGTCTTGTTTTACATTAGGAGTATTGGAAATGCTGTTACTCTCTTACTATACGGTGTATATATGTTCAATGACAATAAATTGTTGTTGTTATATAAAAATTATCCTACACAATATACAGTGGTGCCCCACTTTACGATTGCCCTGCATTACGACGAATCCACTTTACGACAATCTAAACAATGGTCTAAATGGGGGGATTTTGCTTTGCGATGATTGGTTCCCTGCTTCGGGAACTGATTCTTCACAAAATGATGTTTTCCTAACAGCTGATTGGTGGTTTCAAAATGGCTGCCGGGTAATTAAAATGGCTCCCCACTGTGTTTAGGGACGGATTCCTCGCTATACAGGCAGCGAAAATGGCCGCCGTATGGAGGATCTTCACTGGACGGTGAGTTTTTACCCCACTGGAACGCACTGAACGGGTTTCAATGAGTTTCAATGGGTTTTTTTATTTCGCTTTACGATGTTTTCGCTTAATGGCAATTTTCCTGGAACGGATTATCGTCGTTAAGCAAGGCACCACTGTACTTATATGAACTTGACTTTCAAAGTTTAAGAAGTCATTTGAAAGACATACTTTTCTCTCATTATTTTCACAGTTCCTGGACCCCATCTCCAGGTTAACACAAAAATGTACGTGCATTTTCTGGATCTCTGCCAAACCAAAATGAAAGAAAGAAAGAAAATGTAGCAGCAAACAAAACAAAAAGTATTGAGGTTATGAAGTGCAATAAAGACAGACATGTTACTTTTTCAAAGTTAAAAAATGAACATTTCCTTCATTCTTAGGGAGATAGCAATTCTGTTAAAAAAAACCTCACCAAATTTAAATTTAAACCAATTTAATTTAAACCCCAACCAAAAATCCTCCTAAGTCAGGAGAGAGACTGTAAAGATTTCACAGATGCTAAGAGCATTAATAAAGAATTTCAGGAGAAAAAATATGAAATTGATTACACTTGACTGAATGCAATACTCTGATTATGAATTAGTTTTGCCTGAGAGGTCCTTGGGGTTGCAGGCCAAGATGCCTTGAGGTCATGGCCAGCTGCAACACCCCAAGCATATCTAAGTGGGCCATCCCCTTTCGATTTATCCCAATCCTTGAGTCAAAGGGGACTTCCACAAGTTGGAAGTGAATTTTCAAGCTAGGATAGGACAATCACAGATATTCAGCCTATTTTCACCCCTTGTCTCCTCCTAATAAGTAGCATGGATGTTCAATTAGACATACAGGTGAATAATCTATGAGCTGGAACAGTCATATCCCCATTTCTGAATTAAGAAGTCGTGGAAATGATAGGGCACTGACATTCTCATGTCTCTTTCTCTTTTACCCAACAGACTCAAAGCTTCAATGCCCTCCTGAACCAATGACACAGTGGTGGTAAAAGTCACAATTTAATTATGACATATCGCTAGACATTATGGGCAGGCAGGAGATAACTGAGACTTATGGCTACTATTTCCAGAGGCCGCTTGTCACCCTCTATTAACATGCAATTCCAAAATAAGCAATGCTCAAGCCCCACCTCAGTGATGCAGAAGCCAAAGGCCTTCTAATACATTCATTAGGATTCCTAATAACTCCTTTGGAAATGTCTGCTCTCTTCAACAAGGCTGAGTTTATGGTTGCATATGATCTAAATCTATCTTTGGTAATTTTGTCTTAACCTGCCCTTCAGTGCATTATATTACATGAATAAAGGCAGATGAGAATCACAAGAAGAATGAAGTGAAGCACCATCCCAACTGTCCTAGTTGCTTGAAGGCAGTTTTGGTAAGTACCTCTTTCAGCAACTCCTTCCAGAAATATTCACACACACCCTCTGTGGCATTCTAAAATTTTCCTACTTTCCCATCAAAGCTGTTATACAGTGCCAGGAGACAAAAATGGTTTTTTATCGCTTTTAGCTACAGGACATGAATAGAACCTTCCCCTCCAGAGACAGACAGAACTGCCCATAATGCTCAGCAATCCTATTTGATGCACCTATGGAGAAAAGCCATTTAAATTTACTCTCATAAATTCTCCTCCTGACTTTATTCCTACTGTTTGCAATTTCTGAAGATCACTTGCTGTAATACCTATACAATGCTTTATTTAATGAAAATATTTGATAACAAGGCCTTGTAGGTATTCCAGAATGATTAATTGGATTTTCATTTCCTATACTTTTCTTCTTTCTCCTGCCCTTGCCCCTACCCCAAACCACATTTTCACACAGGAGGTTAAAGCTTCAGTTTACAAAATTTTTATATACCACAATCAGCTACATCAACCTAAGATTCCCAGGGTGCTGAGAACAATTAAGAGATATGCCATGTTATTATTACAGTAACAAGGGGGTAGAGGTCACTCCCCAGGTTGCATTCCTCTAATTGTTTTTCTGACAAGTAAAAATCTGACAGCACTATAACCAGATTAGGCAGAACTATTAAACAGAATTGAAGGGGGAAATGTCAGCTTTGATTTACTGCAACCATCTTCAGAGAAAGCATTTTGTTGCGGCAAGCATTTTATTAGATGTATTTATATGTTCCAGTCCCCTTAATTGTTCCTTGCAGCAAGTTTACTTAATTAAGAGTGAATTACAACTTCTTGCAGCTACCATTTCCTAATTAAGATAAGCAAATGTAAACTCAAGTTGGGGAGACAAAAGGGCACCGAATGGCTGTGTAAGTGGAACAAAAACAGCAGCATTTACCTCATGGAGGAGAGCCGTTAACATCTGGTGGAAATTGCGCCCCCTGCTGGCTAGAAATCGACTGATAGGTTTACCATCCTTACCCACATGGACTGGAAGATCATAACTCAGCAACATGCCAGCTAAAGAAAAATAATGTATATACATGAATTAAGATAATTGATCATTTGAAAAGGACATTTGTTAACATTATGGGAAAAGCAGAGAAAGTGAAAGTTGAGAAAACCAGGATTTAGATTTGACAGCCATTTGGGAATGCATTAAGTGCTGAACAGAAGCAGAAAGAAAAACGAACAGCTGATTAAAAGTTTCATATTCTCTTTATAAACTTTAGTAACACAACCTTCGTACATGAGAACAAAAAAGCAAACCCTTGCAGGGAGTGAGTTGGAGTGTTCACATCTGACTAAGAATTACAGTGTATTAAGGGTTAGGGTTGCCACTATGGTTAGTATTATTGGATGACTTACGCTGCTTGTACTTTCTGATCTCAATGAGGTTGCTAGTGTTCCCCCGCCATCACCATGTGGGCCCAAACTTACTGTCCTCTTTGTTTCATTGCATTATGTTTCACCACAAAATTGTTTTTTTTTTTAAAAAAAATGGTGACATGTTGATTATGAAATGCCCCTCCCAGGAAGGGTCATGTTGCATTAGTTTATTGGTTTCATCTCCAGCATCAGGAGAATACTCTAGAATGGTCATTAAAGGAAAGAAGAGACACAAGTATAATAAAAACTTATTTTGTTGTTTTTCTTACTTCAGAATTGCTGCTGTATTGTGTCGCCAATAGTACTGTAGTTTTTAAAATTTTGATTTTTGTGAACTGCCCTGAAAAAAACTTGTTATAGAGGAGCTTTGTGGCACAGTGGCTAAAATGCAGTACTACTGCCAAAATTCTACTCATGACCCAGGTTCAATCATAGCAACCAGCTCACGATTCACTCAGCCTTCCATCCTTCTGAGGTCAGTAAATTGAGTACCCAGCTTGCGGGGGCAGGGCAATATGTAGCCTGCCTAATTAAGTTGTAAACTGCCTAGAGAGTGTTTAAATGCTATGGGGCAGTTTATAAGCAGCATGCTTTGCTTTGCTTCTTGATTTATAGGCAGCAAACACAATAATAAAATAAAACAAATTTGCCATTCGGCTCTCTCAGGATTTTCTGCTACTTAAGGCTCTTACATGTGGCCATTGCCAAAGGAATCTTACCTGCAAGGCCAGGCTTCAGCCCTGGTTGCTTGTTCCTCTCATACATCTTTAGCATAAAGTTTGGAACCCCTGACACAGTCTTCCCTTGGTCTGACCGGATAGCACTTCCTCTGAGTGCAGAATGGTATATTCCACGAGGCATGTTGACCATCTCCTGTTTCAGAAGTGATGTTGTGAACTCTTCAAATGCTTGAAGGGAGGATGAAACAGGGAGACAGAAAGAAAACAAAGGGTAATGGACAGAGGAAAACAGAACCACCCGACCAATGTAGAACAACAAGAATTGGGGATGTTATCATGAAATAACTGGTAACTCCATATTCAGTTGACAGCTCCAAGTTTTTTTTAGCTCCTAAACGACCAAGTCTCCACAATTTCATGTCCACCTCTCATTCAAAATGTCACCTTAGAAACCTTCAATAAATGGTGCCAGATGTTCAAGCTCAGGAAAAAAAGCCAGAATTTTTTAATACTGTATATTGATCAGAACATCCATTGTTTGATCACTGGGCTGGAGCTCTCCCAGCAGGGAATGGCAGAAGCAGGACTGATCTTTATTTTTGCCAAACCATCCTCCCACCACTCAAAGTACCTTGCCACATGAAACTTCTTGCCATTAAAAACAAAACAATTTCTCCAAAATAAATGTTGAAAATTCAGGAAATACAACAGGAAAGATTTTGAAAGGTAAGATCCAGACCTGAGGCTTCTAAATTCTGAACTTAAAATGCAAGAGGTTGGTGGAGGTTAAGGCCTAGGGCCATTGGACTTCAGGAGCAGCCTGAAGGATGGGGAGGGCTTTGTTCCATAAATGACTGTGATAGGCTCCCATTGCTGTCTGGTAATTGGCCACTCGAAGCACAAAAGAGGCAAGAGAATAAATGCATTACCCGATGATGTCAAGTTTACAGCTCTCATGGCTATTACCCTGTTTTCCCAAAAATAAAACCTAACCTGAAAATAAGCCCTAGTATGGTTTTTCAGGTTGCTCATAATATAAGCCCTACCCCCAAAATAAGCCCTAGTTAAGTGAAACCCTGCCCTCCACCATTGTGCAGCAACCAGAAGAAGATGACATGACCGTATTTGAATAAATGTAGATTGTTGTACATGAAAACAATAAAACATCCCCTGAAGATAAGTCCTAATGCATTTTTGGAGCAAAAAGTAATATAAGACCCTGTCTTATTTTCAGGAAACACGGTAGGAATAGAGTTGCAGCGGTTTCGTGATCTCTGTTGCATTGCATCCACAATCACCAAACTGGATAAGGATGGTTGGACAGGAATGTGGTAGCAGTTCTGTGCATTTTGTATAGGTTTTCGACCCTCTTAGAGATTTGCGGAATGGAGGAAAACTTGTCCCATGATTATTTTATTAAAATAATCTTTTTAAAAGATGGAATGAAACTGAGGTGGAGTAGTGGTGTCTGGTGCTGACTGATGCCTTAGGACCTCGATACTTGGCGGAACGCTTACTCCCAACTAGTTCTACCCGTGTCACCCGCGTGAGCCAGGAGGTGAGGCTGAGGAGCCTGACGCCGAGGGAGGCCCGGAAGGAAAGAACTAGAAACCAGGCCTTCTCGGCGGTGGCTCCTCACCTCTGGAATAACCTACCTCCGGAGATTCGCGCTGCACCCTCGCTGGGTACTTTTAAGAACCAACTAAAAACGTGGGTGTATAGGCAGGCCTTCCCTTCCAGTTAATTCCTGTCCTCTTTCCTTCCCCCCCCCTCTTTATTTGATTTATTTTGTATTTTTCCCATCTTACAGAATCATTTAATTAATTAATTTGTTATAAATTTTTCTTGAACTTGTTATGCTTTATGTTGTAAGCCGCCTAGAGTGGTCGAAATGACCAGATAGGCGGGGTATAAATAAATAAATAAATAAATAAATAAACTTTGTCAGACTCCACAGAGAGTGGTTGGTCTACCTCTAGGTTCATGACCTTGGCAGTGAGACGTATGAGTTGAGTATAGGACATGAAGTCCTCAGAGGGCGGAGGAGGGTATGTGTCCACAGCATCTGAATCCAGGGTAGGCAGATTAGGAGGAGACTCTCCCAAGACCACCGAGCCCAAGGCCTTAATGTCAGAAGCAGAATGTGATACACTCTGTGGGGGTGAAGCACTCTATGCAGAAGGAGAGAAGAGCATGTGCCCTGATGCTGGAGGCAGAAGGTGGGCAATGTTGGAAGAGAAGGAAGGGTGCCTACGCTTAGATCTGGTACCCTTGGGATGAGCAGGGTTTTAAAATGGCTGTGTGGCAGCAAGTGGTGCAGTGTGTTGAGATGGATAAGCTGCAGCGGTGTTGCTGTAACCTGTAAACATGAGGAGTGCACCTGAGATTTGAACCCTGAGCTTGAGCTGATGTCAACACAGTACGGCGAGGCTGCTTCAGCATGGGTGTTAGCCCAGAGTCATCCAGTAGCCTCCTGCAGCTATGCCCATGCCATGTCGACACTGGAGGAGAGCATTGCAAGTCATCTTCCAAAGAATGTTCCTGCAGGGTCCTGTGCCACAATCAGTATCGAGGCGGCAAGGGCAATGCCAATGAAGAGTCAGTGCAGCAACAGTAAACATACTGGTGGTGCCTTGACTCCAGATAGTAGTGCGTATGATAAGGCTCATCCAGATAGTAAGCAGGTAGGGGTTCATAAAGTGTTGGGTGATCATAAAGGGCCACCTGCTTCAGAGCATGGTGTCAGTACTGAGGCTCTTGGCATCAGAGTCAAGGCTCATGCAAGTTGTTGGCTGGCTTTAAAGGAGCCGCCGGTGGCAGAAGCTCCACATCATATTCATAGGCAGTAGATGTATGGTGTGCCTTTCTGGACCAATTATGAGGTGGTGGTTGCTTACAAGCAGTCAAGGCTAAGTTAGAGTAATGCCTAGTCAGCTATGGAGCCGGAGATCTCAGGCTCACTTGAGCCAACTACATGACAGCTGTAACCTTTGCAGAAGTATTTCCCCAGTCAGGCAATGGGCTGAACTATGGGGATTCGGCATAGCCAGACAGTGGGGGAGGAGATTCCTCATCCTCCAATAGTGAATCGAGGCAGACTGGCTCTTGTCATGGTGTCTCATGAATCGAAGAAGATAAAGTTGGCCTGTCTGCAGAAGCTTGCAATGTCAAGGCATGCTTGTCCTTGTGACCAGTAGTGTCCAAGGAGGCTTTTTTTCTCTAGGTGAGTGAGTGGTGGTCACGGTCGACTTCACAGTCAAGCTCAATTTCAATGTTAACATCAAGGACTTTAGTTTGGGAGCTGATTTGGCCTTAGATTTTGTCTTGATGTCAGTGAGGATGTTCTCAGCTCAGCCAATGGAGTGTGGTCATGGGGTAGAGGGGTCTGGCTCGGCTCCATGGTCGACATCTGGGAGGCTTGAGGGAGCACTCCCGAAGGAAAGCTCTTAGGCACTGTTCCTGGAGCTTAAGTGCCGCCTTAGTAAGGTTTTCACAAGCCTCACATGAGTGGATTTGATGTGCTTCTCCGAAACAAAAGAGACACTGCAAGAGTCCATCTGTGAAGGGGACCTTATTGGGGCAGGAAACACACCATTTGAAGGAGCCCGTTGGGGTCATAAAATGGCTGGAAAAACAAGGGGGAGGAAGAGTCAGAAGGGAAGGCTAACAGTCCTTTTTTTGTTCTTTAGAACTAATGGAGGAAAGAACGGAAGCCTGAAGCCTAGAAGGATTTCAAAAAATGAAAAGGTCGTGAATGCAACTCCTGTTGGTGAGAGATGTGACCTCAGCAGCAGCAAAAAAGGAACTAAAGCACTCTCCAGGGCAGGTGGAGCATGCACACTAAGGTGGTGGTTCTGGCAAACACATGGGAAAGTTCTAGAAGATTTCAAGAGCCTCTGTGCAGGTGCAGAAGAAAACCCAATTATGTGCATTCATAGAGACCAGAAAAAAGAAGTTTCTGTTTTTGGCTAATTGCCCTCAGAAGCCCACAGTCAGTATGCCCAACAGTGCACCAGCTAGAATTCTGGGATTTATGAGCTAAAAAGGTAACTTTTCCTAACTCTGGATTAGATCAAGGTTAAAGATGGGCATGAAGCACTTTGGGCCATGTTGTTTTAAGTTGTTGGTGCAGAACTAGAGGTATTGTGTGTTGTCTTACCCCACTCCCTCACTGGCTCCCCCACTCATCAGCCAGCACACGCTGCTCTTTCCCTCCCTGTCACATGATCTTACAGTCCCAGCAGGAGCATGGACTTCCCTTCTCTGCTTCCAGCAGATGCCCACTCACAGGCTGCGCTGCAGGAATCCCTGCCCCACCTCCTCATCTGAGCGGGCAGCTGCTGGAGGAGGCAGAGAAGGAAAGTCCATGATATTGTTCAGACTGGAAAATCATGTGAAAGGGAGGGAGGGAGCAGTGCGCACCAGCAGTTCAGTGGGGGAGGCAGCCGGAGGTGAAAGTGAGCGTGCGGCACATATGGTGCTGCACCAATGGCTTAGACCAGCAGTCCCCAACCATTTTCCAACTGTGGACTGGTTGGGGTATGTGGGATCCATGTGCAGGGGGCAGGGGCACCTCCACACTTGTGGATAGGCATGTCGTGCTTGCAGAGGGGTGTGTCGCACTCACGGGTGGGTGTGTCATGCTCGCGGAGGGGTGTGTCGCGCTTGCGGGTGGGCATGTCGCACTCGCTCACCCACCCGCGACTGCGACACAGCCACCCGTAAGCGCAACATGCCCGCTGTGCGTGCGTGGGGGGGTGGGGTTCCGTGTCCCAATTCAAGGAAGCCCACGGACTGGCACCGGGCTGCGCACCAGGGATTGGGGACCGTTGGCTTAGACAACATGAAACAAAGTGCTTTGTGCCCATTTCTACTCACAGTCTATTTTATCTAGTTTATTTTATTTTATCTAGTTGATTTTATATAGTTAATACAGTGGTGCCTCGCATAACGATGTTAATTGGTTCCAGAAAAAAAAACGTTATGTGAAAACATTGTTATGAGAAGCACCATTTCCCATAGGAATGCATTGAAAACCGGTTAATCCGTTGGAACGGATTATCCGGTTTTTTCCCTCATCCCCGCGGCTTGGATCTGACCCACGGCGGCTACCTCAGCCATGGCTGGAGTCCCTAGAGTCCGGCCATGGCTGGGGTAGCCGCCGCGGCTCGGATCCAAGCTGCGGGGGGAGAGTGGTGGGATTGGGATGCCTTTCAGTTATGTACTTACTGTAGTTGGCTGAGCATGCATAGAAAGAATGAAACCTGGATGACATGAACAACTGAAGATGACAACAACAACGTTATCCCGACACCAAATGTGGTGGCTGCCCAGCATAGGAACTGTACTTACTTGCCTTCACCATCTGTGATGTCCAAGACAGACTCATCTAAGCTGGTGTCCTCCAGATTTGTTTGGCTACAGTGACAACCATGTTTACTGGCTAGCATGCTGCCTTGGTATGTTGATGCAGCACAACACATCTGGAAGAGGTAAGCTTGGAGAAGGCTGATCTAAGACAATTTGTTCCCCTGGTGCCATTTTTCTTTGAATAAATTCATTTGAGTTTCATTCTGGCTATGGGACCCGAGGTGACACATGTTCTTCATTGGAAAACTGTGTGGATGAATTATTCTATGCTGATTCTTTTTGCTACTGCTGGACAACTGTTGTGCTCCAAATGTTGTTGGATTATAATTTCTATCCACCCTATTGAGGCGTGGCAAAGGTGGGGGATTCTGGGAGTTGCACTTCAACTCCATTTAGAGGGTCATAGTTACCCATGCTTCCCCGCGCCACTTTCCCCAGCTGTTCTCGGACTTCCAGGCGTCCGAGAACGGCCGGGGTAGGTGGCGTGGGGAGGCTGCTGGCAGCGGGGACAGGGTGGGGGGGTGTCCGCAAGGCTTCCAGGCAAAGGCCTGGAAGGCTTTGACACCCCCGTGCCCTTCCCCCGCCGCCGCTGAGAGCCTTCCGAGCTCTCAGAGGGCTTTCTCCAATATCGGAGGGGGCCCTTTGAGAGCTCGGAAGGGAATTGTCGGCAGGGGACGGTGTCTTTGGGGTCCTTCCGAGGCTGCAGCCCACTGCCGACATTTTCCCCCAGCTGAGCGTCGGGTCTTCAAAGCTCCTGCCGCTCAGCTGGGGGGAAATGGTGCCTATGGCAAGATCGTTGTGCGATCGCAAAAGCGATGGCAAAAAAGCCATCGCTATGCGATTTTTTCGTTAAACAGGGCACTCGTTAAGCGAGGCACCACTGTATTCTGTAAGTTCACAAGCAAGGTAAATGTTGGTTGCTATTCCCTTGTTATGTACTGTAGTCTCCAATATTATGAATTAACTGCAAGACTTCATCAGCTCTAACTTGTTTGCTTAATACAACTTAAGTTGCAATGATGGTAAATAGCTCTTACCTGATCACTGGGCAACAGTTCTACACAACTACATGCAAGTCGAAACAATTATATTAAAAGGCCTGCCCAACAATTAATACGTTTCTGAATGCATTATACCTGGTAGAACAGGAGGAGAAGTGAGCAACAACAATTTAATGTATGAAGCACCAGGAACAGAGAGATCCACCTCTTCTTCTCCATCCCCTTCATTTGCATCCACCTCTTCATGCTGGTCTACTTCTGGTCTTGCCTGAAGATTGTAACAGCCATGAGAAAGAAAAATATAGAGAGATGCCACAGAACTTTGAAAACTGGAAAATAAGTTTGTTTTGGCTACATTCAAGCAAGGACAAGAAACCCAAGATATGGAGAAATCACTGGGTGGAGAGGTGTATTCTTTTAGTATTCTACTGCCATGTGACCAGGATTTAGAACAGGGTATGGAAACATGTGACCCCCAGGTCCATTTCTGCATGTCACAATACCCGTGGGGCTCTTAACTGCTGCATTTTCCACCAAATAAATTTCTGAAACATCTTCAGAGGCAGCCCCATGTACAGTGTGTTGCAGTTATCCAAATGGGAGGCAATACGTCACCATAGCCAAGTCAGGTTTTTCGAGGAGTAAACCTGGCACACCAGTTTTAATTGTACAAATGCACACCTCTGCCACTGCTGAGACCTTGACACCCAGGGACAGAGGAGAACTTGAGCCTATTCCAGGCCTGATGGAAGCAACCTCTGTCTTGCATAGATTAAGCTTCAATTTATCTTCACCTATCCCACTATCAACTCCAGGCATTGGTTTAGGACAGAGACAGCTTCCTTGAAATTATATTGAAAGAAGAGACAGAGTTGAGTGTCATCAGCAAAACTGCAACACTGATCCTCAAAATCCTGGACAACCTCTCCCACTGGTTCAATGTATATGTTAAATAGCACAGGGGATAAAACTCAAACCAGAGGGATGCTACAGGCCAAATGTTTAGGTGTCAAACACAAGTCCCCCAACACCACCTTCTGGATTTTCCCCTTAGGGAAGACTGGAGCCACTGCAACACAGTGTCTCCCAGTTCCATCCCAGACAAGCAGCACAGAAGGATACCATAGTCAATAGTATTGAAAGTTGCTGAGAAGTCCAGCAGAACCAGCAGGGACATACTCTCCTGACTAGTTCCCAGAACAGATTACCTACCAAACTAGTGTCCATCCCTTAACTAGGACTAAAACTCCATTGAAATGGATGTAGATAATCCATCCCATCTAAGTACCCTTGAAGCTGAGAAGCCACCCTTATTCAAAAATTGAATATCAGAGACTGTTGCCCAGTGCTGTGGGACCCAGAGAGCACTTTATTTGCCTCGTGACCTACTCTGCACCCCCTAATCTAACCTTAGGAGGCTTTATCAGTTAAGAAAACACTGTTATTAAGGTGGGGAAATGGGATCCTGAAAGGGGATGCAGCCCTCCATGGTCCAACAATGGGCACTGTGTGGCACTCAGACCTCTCATGCACAGTATAATCTGATACAGAACTCGTACATCTGCAATATGGGAAACAAGACTGAAATGGAAGGAAAGAACCAGAGAAAACAACAGCCATATTCAGTCATTAGTTACTAAGGTCTCTCCAACATGCTTAGAGAGGAGCACCTAGATCCTACTCTTTCTATCATCCCCTTCTCTGACATGTCTGCAGAAAAGAGAGTTTTGTTTGCATGGAGGGTCTCCAAAATGTCAAGATTCTTGTTCGCATGGAGAACCTCCATATAAACAGGAACCTCTGCTCTACAGACACATCATGGTCCATGGGAAGCAAGCTGTAACAGAAAGGGAGGAAGTAGTGCCTCTCCAAGTATATTTATTGGAGAGAACCTAATAAGCTATGACTGAATAACTTTAAGGATGTTATGGGAACCTGATGATAGCTGGACTTAAAAAAAGAAGAGGAAGTATGAGAGAAGCACATGGAAGATTTCTGTCTACTCACAAAATAATCATAAACTGGAAAGATTTTTAAGGGGATAAATTAAATTGAAAGGCTGCTACCAAAAAGAGTAAAGTGTTGTCCCTACAGGTGCCCTCTTTATCCCCCCCCACTCAGCCCCTGACTACACTAGTCTTTTTCAGAATTCTCTTGGGAGTCCCTTTATGAGATCATTTACTTAATTTTAAACCATTTTTCCAGCAACTCAAAGCAATTTGGAACAACTGCAAAAGAAACGTTGCAAATAATAAAATCTAAAACATGCAATTAAATCATGATGGAACAGACAGGCACAGAGGCAGGGGGAACCAGTCAGTTTAATCAAATTCTTTATGAAAGAGGTAAGTTCTCCAACTTAAATCAAAAAGAGATAAATGCTCCCACCCTATCAAGGAACCAGTTTCCACAGTGTTGGAGTCACAACTGAGAAGTTGTGCCATTACTCTCTTCCATTAAAAATCCCACTTGGGTAGCCCATCACTGAAGGAAAGCTTGCTGAGAGAAAGGTCTTTGCCTGCTTGCAGAAGAATAGCAAAGATGAGGCCAGCCTGACCTCCTGTGGGGAGGGAGTTCCAAAGTCTTGAAGCATATACATGTAAACCTTTCATAACCAACCTGAAGATGTACAAAACCAGTTGAGTATTAGGTCTCCCTGTTACCTGAAAAATGTTCCCCAGACTTTTGCAGGAATACTGTCTTTAAAAGGGGATAGACACACAGCTCAGAAATGGTTTGCTTTGTGTTGGTCCTGCCCCACCAAACAATAAGCACTGCCCTGCTGAGATACTTAAACCCCATTTCATTCCAAACAATATACGGCTCAAAGTAGGACCAGACCACTATGACCGAACTTTGGCTATACCCTGACTATATCTCATCTGCCACACTCTCAATGGCCTTTCTGTTAATAGGGAAGGTCTATAATGGAGATCATGCACTATGCTCTACACATATAGAGCACAATTCAGAACCCTAAAATGTGGATGTTGCCCCAGATATTTAGGGTTGCCCCAGATATTTAGGGAAGGGACCCATTTAGAACAGGTTGCCTGCTTCAGACTTCATCCATTCAATTTGTGGACTATTACAGGGCCAGACTACCGAGAGATATTGGACAGGGGCAAGACAAGCAAGTGCAGATCTACTCCTTCCAAAACATGCAAGTCATCAAATGCCCAGACAGGACTTCTCTTTATATAGTATTCAATTTATTCCCATTTCTTTGTGTCTCAGATAAATAATTGCTTGTCATCATCCATGTTTAAAAAAAAGGAAGATCTACCTGTTCAGGGAGATGAAGGATAGTATGCTCTTCAGAACTGAATTCAGCAAGAGATTTGTATGCAGAGTTGGCTACGAGAGGATCCTAAAGAAAAAATATATTAGTATAACACAAAAGTATGAAAGTGGAGAAAGGTTTATTTCTTAGATAGAAATCTAATAAATAAATAAATAAATAAATAAATAAACAAACAAACAAACAAACAAACAAACAAACAAACAAACAAATAAATAAATATGTCTACACACTAAAATTCAAGAACTCTGGCATACAAAACAATGACTTCCATGGCAAAGAATGTGACTCCGTTTGTATGACTCCCTGAACATTACAGATAGGGAGCGACTTCTGAAAATAATGTACAAAAGGAACACACTTCTTCATAGCAATCCAATATGCTGGTCTACAACAATGTCATCAGTGCTGGACTTCAGGGAAGATCAGCAGAATCCCATTCAGTCGAATAACCAGGAGGAACCCCAAATACTGGTTCAGGTCCGGCTCAATTATTATTTCAAAGTAAATACAAATTTCCACCTAACAGATAATCTTCTAGACTACAGCTTTTCTGACTACAATGTAGGACTGAATGACAGGAGCTTCGAGTTTTGGTAGCTCCTACACTTCTTTACTAACAGCCCAAATGAGAAATATCTGAGCAAAGTCACTCCTCCACCATCTTCTAGCATCATACCTTGTTCTGTGTGTGGCTCCACAGGAAGCTGACAACTTGAGCTTTAAATTTCTATAAAATTAGAGGAAAAAATAGATTAGAAAACATGCAAGAATATGAAGGCTTCTTCAATTTGAGCAATAGGATAGAAAATTCAGGCAACTGCCTATTGTATTGCCCTCAGAAAATAAACCAAAACCATTTATGGATTAACAATTTATTCAGAATGAAGGCAAAAGTCCCACATTTCCAATGGGCCTTGGAGCTCAATTTACAGTAATTAAGATAATTCAGGCAATTTAACTGTGTCCAAATGACAGACCAATGGACCCCAGCGTACTAACACAGAGAAATGCAAAGGTCAAAAAATGCACTCCAGAGCCAATATTCAATGTTATATAATAAAAAATTCACAAAAGTTCCATGGGGGGGCTGTATTGACCTTCAAGTGCTCCTGAAGATGCAATTTATAGATAATTTCTGTTGCCATAATCCCTAAGGCAGGAACAGGCTTTAAATGATGTTTTCTTATTAAACTCACACAAGTCACTTATTAAAACATTATTCATGCTGCAATGAGAAAGCATTGCAAATAATTGTATTATGTCTGTAGTGACTATGTGGCATAAGATGAAAAGCACCTACTGTGTTGCAAGTAACACTGAACCCTACCACCCTGGCCACCTAAGTAGAGCTGTCTAGTAAAAGAGAGCAAAACATCTCTAATTCAGCCTCTAGATCAGGTGATCATAGGGACCTTTAAGGCTCACTACAAATGGTACTGTCTGGAAAGGACTGTCAACACTACATACATATATACAAACCTTTATTGGCATTAAAAGTACAGAGTGCTTTAGGCAAGTGGAAAAACTGTGGGGAGTAATAAAACCATGACCAGTTTAAAATTAGGAAAGGAGGTGCGACCGTGGGCTAACCCAGGAGATAGCCTCTCTGATTTGAATCGCAGTTTGTAAAAAACAAGCAACATAGGTAGTGACATGATTAGTTGTCCCCTGGACTAAAAAGCGGACCTTGGCATTATCAGAGCAACCTTGATAGCTAGAGAGCAGTGGATCTAAAAATCTTGCTCGGAGGCTATTATAAAAGGGACAATCCAAAAGAACATGGGATTTCAATGGCATCTTGACTGCAGGGGCATTGTCTTGGATTATATGGAACTCTACGGTATCTGCCAAATAAAATATTATTATTATTATTTATTTGATTTATATCCCACCTATCTGGACCCACGGACCACTCATACAAAATAGCCGAGGGTAGTACATTAAATCTTGCCAGCATGAATGCTCTTCTTTGGTAAGGATCAGTTAAAAGGGAGAAATAGGGAGCTAAAAGCCCTGAATTCAGGGATAGAACCAGGTGACTAGGGGAACAAGTTTTCCGAGCTGCCTCTGACAGATATTGGGGTTGAATATCTAGCAATCTATGTTTGATTGATTAAAATAGTGCTGAAGCAGAGGACATGTAGAATGTGTCCAAGGAAATTCCTAAGGACATAATTTTCTTCTGGATCACGGTCAACCATTTGGATGCATGATGATCCATCAGCATCGAAAAGATAAGAGAGTTCTGGTTAGAATTAAATAAAAGACAGAGCCAGAACTTGAAGGTCGAGAGCCAGTCATGAGTTTCCAACAATAGCAATCCAGGTTCCATGCATATTGCAGCATAGGGGACACAGTTGGGTAATCCGAGTATTTTCCTCAGGAAAAAAGACTGTAAGCCTTCAGTGGTATGATCGAAGGCTTCGATCCATGTACGAACACCATATAAGAGTTGGGAGCGGGATTTCGCATTGAAAGCTCTTAGGGACATAGGGACATATTCGTTCCCTATGTCCCTAGCCAAGGCACTAGTTCTTGCCACTGACAGTTGCAGTGGGTTACCCAGCTCCCATTGTAGGGAAAATTAATCCCCAGGTATTTGACTGAGACTTAGAAAAAAACTAGAATCTTTGTTTTCCCATAATTCAAAGTTAGCTCATTAATATTGAGGTAGATCGTAACTTGACGTAATAAGCACTTCAGTCCTATTTGGGAACATGACAGTATGACAGCATCATCCGCATATACTGTAGAAGGATGGCAACATGGCAGTGAGCAAGTTGAGCGGCGTGTCCGTTGATTGTATATAAAATTGGGGCTAGATCATTTAAGAATAGATTTAAAAGTGCCAGAGCAAGGATACAGCCCTGTTTCATGCCCTTACAAACTGGAATTTCTGGAGTTAAATTCCCCTGAAGATTGACAGCTAGTGTGTGTATATAGGTTTTTAATCAGGGAGAGCAATCTGGGATCTATATTCAACCTGGCCAGCTTTGGGCCAAGAGAGCAATCTTCTACATGTTTACCTAGGGATAGGTCTTACTGAACCGAATGGAAACTGATTTCTAAGTAAACATGCCGAGAAAAACATTATAAAACAAACAATTTTTCAGATGCACAATATTACCAAGGAAGGCAAGAAAAAAAAATCTCTTCCGGATCAGTGAAACATATAGAAAAGCTGGAAAGGGTTGCTGTAAGTCAGAATTGACATGATGGCACACAGTTATTATTAATTATATTGTCACCAGAGTGTAACTATTAAGAGCAAAGTTGTTGCCAAAAGATCTACACCAAAAAGGGGACAGAAGGAAAAGAGACATGGTATTCATTGTTAGCCAAATATCAATCAGTGGTCATAAAAATGCATAAACACACTTGATTAGAATACACTTTTCCACAAAATGCATACCGTTGCAATCTTGTTTTTAATCTAAGGACTGCAACACAAAACTTGGTGAACTGCAAAATCCAAAGGAAAACAGATGTTTCCATTTGTGTCTTGGTTCAGAAAGTGGGAATCTAGGCTATTTGCTTAAAAATATAGACCAAATAAAACCTCTTTGATATCCTTTAGCCTAGGTACTTACTTCATATTCACTTGATTTCACCGTCAGTGAAGGAACAAGGGAAAACAGCTCACTTAGTGTTTTTAAAACTAGTGGTCGAGTGTCACAGGCCAACTTTGGGGACAGTGCATCCCATGTAGAGCGAATGCAAACAACCTGGAAGAAAAAAATTACAGTACAAACAAAAAAAGAGTGCACGTTGAGTTCTGCTCTTCTATTTTGATCATTTTATTTTTAAGAAATGAAATACAAAACACTGAAAAGATCTATTGATAAAAAAGAAATACAGTGGGGTCTTGACTTGAGAACTTAATCCGTATTGGAAGGCGGTTCTCAAGTCAAAAAGTTCTCAGGTCAAATCTTCATTTCCCATAGGAATGCATCGAAAACCATTTGATCCGTATCTGCTCTTTTCCGTCCATAGAAACTAATGGGAAGCTGCTATTCCGCCTTCGACCACTAGAAGGGGATATTTTCTTTTTTTTTTCCTTAGGTCAAGAAAGGTTCAGGGAAGGCAGGGAAAATACAGTCCAGGCAGTACAGTACCAGGCAGTCTGAAGACTGTCTCCCAATCCACTCTCTAAACGCTGGGAGGAGTGAGGAAGCAGACAGGCACCCTTTTCACTGGCCAACAGTTAACTGAAAGTTCAAATTTTGCACTTTCCCTGCCTCCCGCGTGGATTTTTTTCAGTTCTTAACTCAAATCTAAGTATGTAAGTCAAGTCGATTTTTTCCTATGAGAGCGGTTCTTAAGTCAAAATGTTCTTAACTCGAGCCGTTCTTAAGTCAAGACCCCACTGTATAAAACTAATGAAACAAAAAACTTAACACATACATAAATGAAAAATCTTAGAACTATTTAATTACAGTGGATCCTCGACCTACGGAATTAATCCATATTGGAATGGTGTCCGTAGGTCGAAAGGTCCGTAGGTCGAAAATGCATTTTCCATAGGAAGGCACTGAAAACCATTTAATCCAAAACCAGCCCAAGAACCTCCCCACACAAAAAAATTAGAATAAATTTTAAAAAATTAAAACTTTCCTTTTCGAAGCCTTCCAGGGGTCCCCCACCACCGCCATCACCGCTGCTGGAGGACTCTGAGGGCTTTGGTGCTGCTGCCAGAGGCCTCTTGGAGCTCTCCCGC